ATTAAGTTGCATCCACTATTTTGCCATTATCAAATCACATGCAAATATCTTAACTCTTAAGATGATAATTTTTAATGTGAGAAAAGTATGTTAAAAATTTTATATGGACTAATGGTGTGACAAAAATAAAATGTATAAATAAAAATAATTTTTACTTTACAAATTAGTTTGTAAGTTGAAGTTAAACTCAATCTTATATCTATAAAATAATATTAGAACTTAATTAAAGTTTGTAGGGACAATAAGGATGGTTATAATAAAATTTATTTTATTTTTCTATATTTTTGGTAGAATGTTTCAAAATTCCTTTTAAGCCCTTTATCTGTTCAATTTGCATATAATCATTTTCTAGTGTATCATCATCATCAACCCACATAAAACAGCCTCTAAAATACATTTTATGGGACACAACAGATAGAGATTAGTTTGTCATGTTACTATTAAAAGTCTAGCTTAAAATAGATTGGGAAAGAAAGCCAAGCTAATTGCCATTTATCATTCATAACTACAAAAAGTAGAGAAAGGCCACAGTAGCTGATGAAATTATACTGGACCCTACCATGTTATGAGCACATGCAAGTTTCGGCTCGACCTTCTCTTAAATCTTAATCCCTGTCCTTTCTTTATTATTTTCTTTTTATTTTTTCTCCTCTATAAGATTTTATGAACCAATCAATCATATAAGATAATAAATTAATATTAAACTAGTACTATGTACATGAACTTGAAAAGTATCCTTCTATCTTTGGAGCCACAGTAATATATTTTTTTTTCTTTCAAAAACCCTATTTTGTCACATCCTTGAAGGAATATGCCCCTTTGGTAGGTTTAATTTGGATCTTTCTTTGACACCTTCCCTAAGGATTACATACGCGTAACCGTATCCAATTTAAAAGCCATGAAACTTACTAAAAAAAATAACATACTAAAATTTCCATGCCCTAATTAACAACATGTGGAATGAACCTTCCATGATGCCACGCTATTTCTTAGTCCTTGTGTAAGGTATAGATATGGACATATTTTGAGACATGAGAAAGGGGGGGGGGGGGG